TTTTCACTTCTATCAGATGTCACTCCCCAAACCGTCACACAACTAACACATATCAAGGAGAAAGGAAATACAATCTCCCCTTAGCAGAAGGAATAAATATTTTAACAATGATACAGTCACCATAATATGCCACTGAATAGTGATCAGCAAAATAATTCACCAGAAGTTACAACAATTCTGTTGTTTTATGCAATTAATAACTTAGCCTCAAAATATTTTTTAAACTGACAAAATTGCACTTAGAAAATGACAACTTTAGAATTAAACTTAGAGATTTTAGGATGTTTGTTTCCAAAATGAGTAAATGAAGTAAATTAAATTAGTAAAGATATTAAGTATATACAAAGGAATATTATTCAGTCTTAAAAAAGAAGGAAATTCTATAATTTGTAACAACATGGATTAATCTAGAGGAAATTATGCTACATAAACTAAGCCAGCTATGAAGGACAAACACTGCACGATTTTATTTATATGAGATATCTAACATAGTCAAACATAGAAGCAGAGAACAGAATGATGGTTGTCAGGGGCCAGAGGGAGGTGGAAATGAAAAGGGGTTACTCAATAGTTATAAAGTTTCGGTTATGCAAAAGAAATATCAAATATGCAAGATAAGTAAGGTCTAGAAATCTGTACAACATAGCACTTATCATTAACAATACAGTATTGTGCACTTAAAATGTGTTTCAAAAGTCCATCTGTTTTTAGCCTTTATTTTTTTTTTTTTTTAGCTGTTTTTAGCTTTTAAAACAGATGCACCCAAAGGAGGGCTTTACCAGGTCTCTAGGGATTCCTTCCTCCAGTCAAACTGACACCTAACACCCAGTTTGCAATGTTAACTGCTCTTACTCCTCCAACCCCCACACAGGCACCCAAAGGAACACAAGGAAACTGTGAGAAGTAACTGATACATTACAACCTTTATTCAGTGATGCTATCATGCATGTATGCATAATAAGTTCAAAGTCATCAAATTGTGTAGGTCAAACATGTGTAGGAGATTTTTGTATTGCTCATGCCTAAATAAGACTTTTTTTCCAAAGACATTACAGAAGACTCAAACCACAAAGTAAACAAATTTGATCAAATAGACACAAAGAGCAATACGCAAGCAAAGGACATACATGAAACGTTCATTAAAATGGAACTTAAACTAGCACAGAGAAAATTTCTGAAATTTTTCAAGTATAAATAGCTTACGAAACAAATTTTTGGCCAGGCGTGGTGGCTCACGCCTATACCCAGCACTCTGGGAGGCCGAGGCAGGTGGATCACGAGGTCAAGAAATCGAGACCATCCTGGTCAACAAGGTGAAACCCCGTCTCTACTAACAACACAAAAATTAGCTGGGCATGGTGGTGCGCGCCTGTAGTCCCAGCTACTCGGGAGGCTGAGGCAGGAGAACTGCTTGAACCCAGAAGGCGGAGGTTGCAGTGAGCCGAGATCGTGCCATTGCACTCCAGTCTGGGTAACAACAGTGAAACTCTGTCTCAAAAAAATTTTTTTAACAAATTATAATTAAATGAAAACTAGCAATAAAGAGATAAACCAAGACAGTCAAAAGCTACATGTTAGAAATTTCAGTGATTCTTTAATAACCTTTTGAGTATAATAAATCACTGTTAAAAAAATATTTAGAATTGAACAATAAAAAATGTATTAAATCTTGTGAGACAGAGCTAAAGTTGTACTCAGAGATAAATGTATAGCTTTAAAATGCATTTACTAGAAAGTTTTTCCAGTTCTGTGAAGAAGGTCAATGGTAGCTTGATGAGGATAGCACTGAATCTATAGATTACTTTAGGCCGTATTAGTTCAACCATTGTGGAAGACAGTGTGGCAATTCCTCAAGGATCTAAAAATAGAAATAACATTCGACCCAGCAATCCCATTACTGGACATATACCCAGAGGATTATAAATCGTTCTATTATAAGGACACATGCACACATATGTTCATTGTGACACTGTTTACAAGAGCAAAGACTTGGAACCAACCCAAATGTCCATCAGTGATAGACTGGATAAAGAAAATGTGGCACATATACACCATGGAATACTATGCAGCCACAAAAAAAAAGATGAGTTCATGTCCTTTACAGGGACATGGATCAAGCTGGAAACCATCATTCTCAGCCAACTGACACAAGAACAGAAAACCAAACACCGTTCTCACTCATAAGTGACTGTTGAACAAGGGGAACACATGGACACAGGGAGGGGAACACGACACACTGGGGCCTGTTGCAGGGTTGGGGAGCTAGGGAAGGGATAGCAGGGAGTGGGGGGATTGGGGAGGGTTAACATTAGAAGAAATACTTAATGTAGACGACAGGGGGATGGAGGCAGCAAACCACCACGGCATGTGTATACCTATGTAACAATCCTGCACAATCTGCACGTGTACCCCAGAACTTAAAGTATAATTAAAGAAAAAAAGAAACACAAATCAAAAAAAAAAACAGAAAAGAAATGTTGATTAGGAAAAAAAGAGAAAGAATCAGAACCAATAAGAAAGTTCAGCAAGTTTGTCATATATAATTTATAAAAATTAATGTGTTTCTATATACGAGAAAGGACATTTTTTGAATATTTTAAAATTCTTAAAGATGATGAAACAGTACAAAAATGTTAATGGTGTAGAGAAATAATAATAATGAAAGATACATATTACATTTCTGCATAAAATTATAAAATTTTATTGAAACATTAAAGAAAACACAAATGAAAGAGGTATGTCATTTTCACAGGTGGGAAGATAATATTAAGAAACTGTCAATTCTCAACTTAATCCATAAAGTTTTCAAAAATCAATTCATCTATAAATGCAATTTATAAGACAATCAAAAGCAAACATGGGTTGGATGTGGTGACTCACGCCTGTAATCCCAGCACTTTGGGAGGCTGAGGTGAGTGGATCACGAGGTCAAGAGATCAAGACCATCCTGGTCAACAAGGTGAAACCCCGTCTCTACTAAAAATACAAAAATTAGCTGGGCATGGTGGCACACACCTGTAATCCCAGCTACTCAGGAGGCTGAGGGAGGAGAATTCCTTGAACCCAGGAGGCGGAGGTTGCAGTGAGCAGAGATCACGCCATTGCACTCCAGCCTGGGTAACAAGAGTGAAACTCCATCTCAAAAACAAAAAAAAGAAAAGGAAAAAAAAAGCAAACATGGATCCTCAAGAAGTATAAATTAATTCTACAGCATAGAGAGAAAATCAAAATAACAAAAACTGGCTAAAATTTTTGAAGAAGTACAAAGTGTAAGTAATCAAATCAAATATTAAAACAACATAAAGCAATAGTCAAGATAGTGTGGCATTGTTGCAGAAGCAGGTAAAACAAAATGGAACACTGACAGAATTTAAAATATAAAGAAAATTGGTATATGACAGAGTGATAACATAAGACACTTGGTAAAGTATGGGATAATGAATAAACAGTGCTGCAACAACTAGGTGCTTCCATGGATTAAAAAAACAAATTATGGCCAGGCGCGGTGGCTCAAGCCTGTAATCCCAGCACTTTGGGAGGCCGAGGCGGGTGGATCACGAGGTCAAGAGATCGAGACCATGCTGGTCAACATGGTGAAACCCCATCGCTACTAAAAATACAAAAAATTAGCTGGGCATGGTGGTGCGTGCTTGTAATCCCAGCTACTCGGGAGGCTGGGGCAGGAAAATTGCCTGAACCCAGGAGGCAGAGGTGAGCCGAGATCGAGCCATTGCACTCCAGCCTGGGTAACAAAATCGAAAGTCTATCTCAAAAAAAAAAAAAATTATATTCCTCACTCATACTAAAGTATATTCCAAAGGGATTTTAAAACTAAATGCAAAAGCAAATCTTTAAAACCTTCAGACAAAAATTCAAGACACTAGATGACCTCAAGGTAAGGAAGGAAGGATTGCTTCAGACACAAAGGACACAAGCCGTAAAAAAAGTCTTCACATTAAAACGGAAACTCTGTGAACATCAAAAGTTATTGTAAACAAATTCAAAAGAAGAACCACATACAAGGAGAAGGCATATGTAAGACATATAATTAACAAAAGATTTATATCCAGAATATATGAAAATCCCAACTCAAGAACCAAAAGAAAAAAAAAACATGGAAAAATTGGCAACTGGAATCAAGAAGGAAAAAAGCAAAAATGGAAAATGTCTGAGAATGACCAGTTCCACTATTAATCATAGAGACACAATTTATCACAGTTCACATCCATCTTTGGCAAAGATTAAAAAGGCAGATGATACCAAATGTTGGCGACAATATGGAGCAATTGGAATGCGCAGCTAGGCAAAATTAGAACAACCACTTTGGAAAGCATTTGGCCAAATCTAGTTATGTTGAAGATGTGCACAGCCTTAAGACCTGCAATTGTAAGTGCATTCCCTAAGGAAACCCCATGAGTATACTCTGGGAGGCACGAACGAGAAGATTTGCTGTAACACTTTCTATAATTAAAAAAATGGGAAAACAATCCAAAAGCCCATCCACAGAAGAATGGATAAATTGTGATATATTCATGCAACAGAATACTCAACAGCAGTGAAAATGAAAAGATTAAACTGGCCAGGTACGGTGGCTCAGGCCTGTAATCCCAGCACTTTGGGAGGCCAAGGTGGGCAGAGGTTAGGAGTTCAAGACCAGCCTGGCCAATGTGGTGAAACCCCATCTCTACTAAAAATACAAAAAAATTAGCTGGGTATGGTGGTACACACCTGTAATCTCAGTCACTTAAGAGGCTGAGGCAGGAAAATGTCTTGAACCCAGGAGGTGGAAGTTGTAGTGAGCCAAGATTGCACCACTGCATTCCAGCCTGAGCAACAGAGCCAGACACCAAGAGAAAGAGAGAAATAAAAGCAAGAAAGGAAAGGTTAAACCTACAGTTAATAACATAGACAAATATAAAATATACAATATTGAGTGAATAAAAAGTTACGGCATTTTTCCAGAATAAAACCAGTTATGTAAAGCTGAATGGCAAGAAAAAGCAATATTTTATCATGTCAATGGGCATGTTAAACACGGAAAATTACGTTTAATAAGAAACAGATTTTGAGCAGTGGTACCTCTGAGAAAGAGAAAGAAGAGAATGTGATTGGAGAAGTGTATGAAATGTCAATGCAATGTAGCCAAAGGGAAAATGTGAAGATTTGGTAAATCTGGTTGATGAGAATACAGATGTTCACTCTATTATTCTCTTTATTTGTCTGTACATCTGCAACATTCCATAATTCTTTTAAAAAGTGAAAGCTTCATGCCAAGTTTGCTGCTACAGGGAGAAGCGGTAAAATTCTCATTCTCTAAAGGCCACAGTTGACATGTGAGGAGAAAAAGAATAAGATCCTTCCAATCCCATGACAAGGAATATAGCTGGACCCCGTAAGACACAGAAAGCGGTCTCTTCTCTCCCTTCCTCCAACCGATCTCCAGTGTCTACACTCTGTAAGTTGATTTCCTTCTTCCATCTATCCGCCATAGGTCTTATATTATCACAGGCCCTCAAGGTACCTAGCCCCAGGTCTACACAGCTTTGCAACTCAAGAACCTACACTGACCTCATCTCTGTGTCTCCACTCAAATTCCTGAGAGTATCTGATCAACCCCTGTAAGTCCATGGGTTACTTGGCCTTGGGTCAGATGTCTACTTTAATTCAATTTGTTTTGACTGAGAGAAAATACAATAAAGAATGACCCCTTTTAGGGGTTTGCGGGCAGGACAGGATTTCCAGAAAGGTTTGGATAAAACAGACACTTCCCCATCCCATCCATCAACCTAGTTTGGGCAGGAATTAGAACAGAAGCCTGCACAGAAATAAAGAATGTGCGTGAGGCTGAATCAGTCTGGTGTGGTCTTCCCACGCTACTTCTTGAGCATCCATTCGAAAAGTTGAAAATCGATCATCGCTCACATCAGATTTTTGTCATGGACAACAAACTAACGAATATATGGGAGCCAGAGGGAAAAGTAGCCTCTTACAGAGGTTGGGGGTGGGGACAGCTGTAGAGCTTGTGAGGAGGCCACGGACGTGCAAAGCGAATGAAGCCAAGTGTGACCCTGAAGCTAACCGTGCGGGCAGCCGGCCTCAAACAGACCTCATTTTCTCCACCCACAGTCACTCAGAGGCTCCTCTCTGGAGCTCGTCGGTCAATAATTAGCACCACTATTCATCCGCTAGCCAGAACCTGGCATCATCCCTCTCGCTTTCCTCTTGTCCACCTGGCAGCAACATCCTGTGGCTTCTACCCCCTGAGGGCTTCTTTCACTTGTCACTGCCACCTCCTACCTGTTTCAACCTGTTTCCCTCTCACCTGGTCTTCTGAAAGAGCTATCCCCAACTCAGGCAGAGGAATCCTTAAACACCACAAATCCGATTCGCGTTCAGTCATCATCATGCATTTCCACGAGGGGTCAGCCAGTGGGAGGAGTACTGGGCAGACACTGGCCGGGAAAGCCACAGTGACCCTCACGTTAGCGCTGGGGAGAGACAGCCACTAGAAAGTAAACATGAAAAAGATTTTTATTGTATATTGAATAAGTGCTCTGAAGGAAAAGCTCTATGTGCTTTGAGATTGCTTAATCAGGGAAACGCAGTTTCAATGGAAGCAGTCAGAAAAGACCTCTCTAAAGAGTGACTTTTGACCTGATGGAGTCATAGTTTTCTCTGTAAAGCCTTTCATCACTTCCCCTTTTTGAAGATAAAGATAATCCAGGGCAAAGCAGATGTAATTCGGCTTCTGCTTCCCTTCCTGTCTAACTTCCTCTTCACCTTCTCCCCAGCTTTTCCCTCTCCAGCCACCCTGGACATCTCACTGCTCCCTGAAAATGTCACCGAGGAAAGACCTTCTTGTCCCATTTCCCCCAGTCAGTCCTCATCAGGTATGAATTAAATGTCACTTGCTCTAAGAAGCCGTCCCAGAGCAACCCCAAGGAGGATCTGCCTGAGTGTGGTGTCACGTATATTGATCCTTCCTTATACCAAATGCTCTTGTAACCCCCTCCTCAAAACCTGTTAAAACTCTCAGCTCCATATTTGTAGAGGAATGGCAGTCTTTTTTCTCAGTATAGCCCCAGGGCCTGGCTTATTAAAGATACTTAACATGTAACTGCTACATAATCAAAGAAAGAAATGAATGACTTCACTGACATGGCTTAGTAAAGACACAGAACCTCAGAATTAGAAAGGATCTCGGAACTCATGTGCTCTTCCTCCCCCACCAAGTCAGACATGGCAGACGTCACAGTCTCTCCAAGCTTTGCCCGTCTCCCTCACTGGGTTGCGAGCTCTTCACAAGCACGGACAGTGGCTTATTCATCTTGGTATCTCCCTTCTCTACAGAATTATGAACCAGAGAGCTCCCAAAGGATCATGATCTCCACCTACAACTTAGAAACTTTGTGGGATGAAGCCAGCAAGTGACTTCCTAAAGGTGTTTCAGCAGAGCCAGCTGCAAACAGACACATCCAGACTCCTCCTGCTGAATTTCCTCATCTGCATGGTTTCATGGACAGTCACTCCAAGCTCGTGGCCACCCTGCCCCGCCTGTCATTCCATAGTATCAAAGATTCCCACTTTACAGCATTTCATTTTCTTCCAAGAATCCCTCTCCAGGCATCACACTGTGCCCCTGCTGCTGGCCAAATGCCAAGAGATGCCCTGGGCTTCTCCTCGGCACTGTGATCTCTGCTATAGGGCATTAACAAGGAGCCAAAGACCAGCACACGTGCACTCACGCGCACACACACACACACCAGCGAGCTTCAGAAATGGCGTTTTCTTCGTTTCCCCGTCTTTGGGGCGGCCTCCAGCTTTAAGTCCTCCACTTTTGGCAGCAGCCTTTCCCTTTGGGAGAAAGACAAGCAACTTTAGAGTGATATGGAAATCACCCCCTAAACATTTGCAAGCCTTGCAGGACTTGGAGCTGGTCCCAAAGCAAATTCAATCAGCCCTTTCTTCCCCCCTGCACTTGCTGCCTCCAGCTGAGCCCCATCTCATACAGTGAAGCCCAGTGAATGGGTGCACCTGATAAGTCCCGAAAGGCCCCAGCCCCACACCAAGAAAAAGAGCAAGAAAGCCACCACGAGAAAGGAGGAGTGGGAAGGGAAGGAAATGGGGCCAGGCCTGGGACAGCTGCCACACTGAGCCTGCTTTTGACAGAGGCCTCTGCCTGCACTGAGAAGGACCTTCAGCTAAAACATGAATTTACACGGCAAGGAAGTGATCGTGCTGGCCTGTGGGCCCAGTTCCTAAGCTTTTAAAGACTGAAAATGTTCAGCTTTTCAGTGTTTGACTCAGAAAGCCCTAAATCCCTCTGGCTTCTCAGATTAATAAATGATATTTGCAACTGGATACTGTGATACCGGTACTTCTCCCCATCTCTTATCCATAAAAACCTAATTGTAAAGCATTCACTGAATTCGATCCTCTGATGAGACAATGAAATTTCAAAGGATCTATAAAGAGAGGCAAAAGAAAGCCTTCAGCACACAGTCCTATGTGCTCTGAAAATATAACAGTATGTGTATAATTGTGTCTTCCCTAGCAGTAGGAGAATGGGTGGGGTGCTGGGAGTGGGGGAATCAGGACAGGCGACTGACCTAATGAATATAAGGGTGAACGTTGGTCCCTAATTCCACAGGGCAGCCACCCAGGACAAAATCCAAGGTGTTGTCCTAATCTTTCTTAATACTGATGGTTAAGCAATATTTTTTCCAGCTGCCCATAAACTCCCTGACTGCTGTCAGTAGACTCTAACCTAGGATTTCCCTAGCAAAGCTCCCAGCAAATCCCGTTACCTCAAAATAAGTGTCAAAGTATTCAGAGGATTTGTATACCCTCAAGTGAGGTCTCTCCCCTCACATTGTCACAGTCCAGGCATCTAAAAAGAGTGACTCTGAGGAAAATTGAAAACCCAGATGATGAAACACCTCCCACCATGCAGGGTTAGAAAGCTATCTGCAGCCTCCAAAGAGCAACAGTGTGTTGTGTTGTGTTGTGTTGTGTTGTGTTGTGTTGTGTTGTGTTGTGTTGTATTGGTTGAATCGCGCCTCTGTGAGAAATGAAACATGATCCTTGAAGCCAAGCCGTCATGAGTTTTACTCCACACTGCTATTTTGTGACGTTAAACATAACACTTCACTTCTTAGCGCCTTGGTTCTCTAGGGTAGGAATAGGGGTAGGAATGGGAATAGTACGTCTTTGGGTTTATAGGTTTTTAGTCTCCTAATTGTTGTTATTGATGACACCTGGGTTTTGGGAGAGCTGCTGTGTTCTCTGCAGTCTCCGTGGTAGGCAAAAGATCTGGAAAGCCTGCCCTGAGCAGGTGACGCAGTGCATCACTAGAACCCACACAGGCACCAGAACCAGAAAGCCATATTTGCTGATCCTGACTGGCAAGTGACACAAAATCCTCATGAATAATACATGATGCCTCATGTGTAAACACAGATATCATTTAAAGCAACCAAGTCATTTCCCAAGTGTGCTTCAGTGACTATCAACTATGGATTCCCACTTAGCTGCAACTTCTGATTTCCTAAGTAAATCTTCTGTCTCCCAAAAAGAAGACTGAAAACACATCTCTACTTCCCCCTCAAAGGCAGTCATCTCTGAGAATGGAAAGGGAGGCCCCAAGAGCACTGGTCAGTGACACTGTCCCGTGGCAGGGGTCCACTCCTGCCGCTGCTGCTTTCTCACAATGGAGACACTCCCAAACCCAGAGCCTAGCAGACAGCTCGGGTCACCCTCATTTCCTGCCTGCAGTCTGTTTCACTCCTTCTGGCCCCTTCTGCAGGAGCCCAAGGATGCAGCTGTGTTTGCACTAACATTCCTGCAGGGGGAGAGAACATGGCTGCAAGGCAATAAGAGGACGGTAATTAAAACAAACAATAAAATGAAAATTTCATCAGCATTTTCAAAATAGGAGTTTTCAACCAGCAGCATTTTGCACAGAGCTGGGACAATTCCATTTTGGCAGGCATCCTAAATCCTTTGAAGCCAGGAGACTACCATATCCTTTCAGGAGAGGAGCCTGGTGGGGAGCTCAGGGAGCTGGCCAGGAGAGAGTCTGTTGCTCACGGCCTGGGTCTTCCTTTTGCTGTGAGTTTGAACTATGCTGCTTTCGCAATGAGATTTTGAGCACTCTGAAGTATCATGCCTCTAAGAGGCAGATAGGAAGGAGAGGGGACATTCACTGGGCCAAATTGGGCCAATCATCTCTGCTTTGGGAGATCAGACAAATCCAAGCCAACTGGCTCCTGGGAAGATGTAGCCAAGCCAGACAGGACAAGGCTGAAACAAAAGCTAAAGAATTCCAAAAGCACGAAGGTAAAAGCCAGCCCTAAGAGCTAGCCAGCTGTCCTTCAGCAGAGCCAGTCAGGCCAGAGAGCAGAACTTCCAGGGTTCAGAGCTGGCAGTATAAAAAAAAAAAAAGAAGGGAAGTGGGAAGAGGCCAGGGAAGGGGGAGAACTGGGGGAAGACAAAAGCAGAGGAAGCCTCCTGGATTTTCCAAAATAACCTCTGGTGATGGTAGTGAGCAGCCAAGAGACGGAGTTGCCGCAGATGAAGTAAAGTCCAGTCCTAAGGAGGCAAATGTCTTTATCTTCTGAAGAGCTAGAGTCTGCAGCCCAGCTATACTGTGACAGAACACAGGGACAGAGGGCCACTGGATGAGGCACTCAGCTGTTTCTGAATGGGAAACCCGAGGCCCCCTCTATAAGGGGAGACACTCCCAAGTGAAAGGCTGACAACCAGAAATCTACCAACTGTTTTTAAGTTTGTTTTGTGTTCCTCCGTTTCCTTTTCAGGTAGATTATATGTTTAAAAAACAATTTTCAACAAGCAAAAAATAAATATCACCATTAAAAAGTGGACAAAGGACATGAACAGACACTTCTCAAATGAAGACGTACAAGAAACCAAAAAACATATGAAAAAATGCTCAGCATCACTGATCATCGGAGAAATGCAAATGAAAACCACAGTGAGACACCATCTCACACCAGTCAGGATAGCTACTATTATTATTATTAATTTTTTTTAGAGATGGAGTCTCACCCAGGCTGGAGTGCAGTGTTGCCATCTCAGCTCACTGCAACCTCTGCCTCCCGGGTTCAAGTGATTCTCCTGCCTCAGCCTCCCTTGTAGCTGGGATTACAGGTGCACGCCACCATGCCAGGCTAATTTTTTTTTTTTTGTATTTTTAGTAGAGACGGGGTTTCACCAAGTTGGTCATGCTGATCCCGAACTCCTGACCTCACAATCCACCCGCCTTGGCCTCCCAAAGTGCTGGGATTACAGGCATGAGCCACCATGCCCAGCCCAGAATTGCTATTACGAAAAAGTCAAAAAACAGCTGATGCTGGCAAAGTTGTGGAGAAAAAAGAACATTCATACACTATTGATGGAAATGCAAATTAGTTTAGCCCCTGTGGAAAGCAGTTTGGAGATTTCTCAAAGAGCTAAACATGGAATTATCCTTAGACCCAGCAATCACATTACTGGGTAGATATCCCTGCAAATAAAATAAGAATTCTACCAAAAAGACACACGCACTTGTATGCTCATCACAACACTATTCACAATAGCAAAGACATGGAATCAACCTAAGAACCTATCAGTGGTGGACTGGATAAAGAAAAAGTAGTACAGGTACATACACTGTGGAATACTATGCAGCCATAACAAAGAATGAAATCACATCCTTTGCAGCAACATGGATGCAGCTGGAGGCCATTATCTTAAGTAAATTAACACAGAAACCAAACACCACATGTTCTCTCTTGTAAGTGGGAGCTAGACACTGGGGATCATGGACATAAAGATGGCAACAACCATCACTGGGGACTACTAGAGGGGGAGGAAGAGACGGAGATGAGGGTTGAAAAACTGCCTATTGGGTACTGTGCTCAATACCTGGGTGAAGAGTTCTATTGTACCCTAAATGTCAGCATCACATAATATACCCTTATAACAAACCTGTACATGTAGCCCAGAGTAAAATAAAAAACAAATCTGATTTTTTTATTACTAAAGCAATATAAGCAATATGCATTCTCAACAAAAAGAAAAAATTAAATACTAATTATCTATACTCTCCTCCACCTCCTGAGATAATGCTTGTTTATATGCTGGTGTCTACTGTACATTTCTTATATATCTATATAATAATTATTGTCACAAGTTCAAAATCATAAGGCATAATTTATTTGTAACCTTCTCTTTCCACCCAAAATATCATGATCACTCTTCTGTGTTGCTTCTGTCTCAATCAAAACTTATTTATGATAAATGAAACTCACTAAAATTAGATTCGGCCAGAGGGAATTCATCATATGAATCAGGAACCTCATAGAACCCGAGGAATGACCGCTGGGACAAAGGCTAGCACTGAAACACCTCCCTGACACCCCAGGGCATGGCATCCTGTCACTCTGTCTGCTCAGCAGTGCCCTCTCTGCAGCCCAGGCCCCTGCTTCTGTGTGTAGCAGCAACCAGTGGCCTCCCAGCCCACCAGCTCCACTGGGCCTCACTCATCCTGAATGCAAAACACCAGCCTACTAAACTCCCAATTCCAAACGCCCAAGGTCGGTAATCCAGCTGGCCTGGTTTATGTCATCTATACACCCTTGAAGTAATCAGCCATGGCTGGCGGGAGTGGGAGAGGCAGGGAATTGGTCCGCCAGGACATTAGAGAAGTGGACTCACTTACAAATGTTATTTACTGTTCCTTCAAAGGATATGCCAGGAAAACAGCTTGTATTAGTCAGGGTAGACTAACTGCTATTTACAGAAACCCCAAAGGTTTATTTCTTGCTCTCATCCCAGGCTACTGTGAACCAGTAGGGATGGTCAGGGGGAGGGAGTGGGGGTCAGGAGGGTCCTTCAGAGACCAGGGCTCCTTCTGTCCCTGGCTCCCCTATCTTGTACTGTCTTAGAGGCCTCTACTGGGCCTTTCGAACTCAAAAACTTAATCATATCTGATTCATTTGCTTCCAGGCAGCTCCAATTGCAAAGCAAACACTCTCAAGCTTCTTTCCTAGACATAATTCTAAAATGTGCTTCATTTCGTTGTTTCCTCTATTGCTCTCCTGCATCTCTTGTTCTCAGCGGCTGTCTTGAGACTATGTGGAACAACGGGCTTGAATGGGACTGCCACATCCAAATGTAACTTTCTGCTGCAGGACTAAATCACTTTGTTCAATTGAAACATGTTAATGAGTCTTTGTCTCAGTGCTTCTCAATCCCATCCCTTACAGTTAAAGAAGCAGTCAGCTTTCTCAAACCCTCTGTGGGAGACTGGATTTTCCCAAAACTGGCCATGGCTATAGCCATCTTGCCAGTGTCGCGTGTTCTCCCAGAGCCTTGACGCTCAGCCCATTATCCTTGACGCTCAGTCAGGAAGATGGAGCCTGACTCCCCTTGCTCTGCATATGGGCTGGTCTTAGTGACTCAGTAATAATAACTGGCACGAGGCAGAGATGACACCACCTGACCACTGAGGCCAGATAGTAAAGTGATACAACTTCTGCCTGGCAACCCAGCCGCCATGCTGTGAGGAAGCTCAAGCAAACCCACACGGGGAGACAAAAGGGAGAAGTCTATGTGGGGAGGCACTGAGGCCCCAGACAACAGCCAGAATCAGCTGCCAGACACAAAAGCCAACCAGCCTTCTGACGATTCTAGTCCCCAGCTTCAAGTCTGCCAGCAGAGCCCCAAACATTGCGCAGCAGAGACAAGTTGTCCCTGCTGTGTCCTGCTGGAATTCCTGATGCACAGATGCCACGAGCATAAGAAATGTCTTAAGCACTAAGTTTTAGGCTAATTTGTTACATAGCAATAATGGTCAGAACATGTTTGATGCACCACACTTTTGCTTTCTTCTTACACCCTTTTTATTTTTCTTTTAAATCAGTTCGTTCTTTCCTAAATTCCTTCTTCTCGTGGTGCTTTGCCAAAGGCAGACAATAGAAGCCCATTACACATAAACATACACACACTGCTAATGTTCTATTTTCTAAACACTTCCCCTAGTGCTAAAATCTCAGGCACATGGTCTCCCTTCCAGATCATCGCTGTGAAGTTCTATCAAACACTTTGCCACAGCAACACAGGGCTTGCCAGCCTTCCAGCCTCCGGCATGTGTCTCCTCACCACCCACAGCCTGACTATTAAGCCAATATCCCTTGTTTTAGGCATTTTTATTATAGAAGCACCCACTTCTGGCATCAATTTCTATATTATTCAGGGGAGACTAAGTTCTGTAGCTAAGAATCCCATCATTCAATGGTTTAATGCTATGCAGTCTTGTCACTCACATTGTGGTCCCATATGTATGGGAAGGTCACAGCTCTCACACAGGCATCTTCCATCTGGCAGATTCTCCAACACCAGTGCTCAGCAGCCTCCCCTGGGTCTTGTGCATCCTGCCAGTGTGGAGGATCATATGGCCGGTGCCTGGAAGGAGCACACATCACCTCATTTCACTGGCCTCACACAGCCCACATTTCACTGGCCACAACTCAGTCCTATGGCCCCACACAACTATATGAAGGCTTATGTCAGCCGTGCCCTCAGGAAGAAGAAATGAGTTTATGAGCATCTAGCCATCACACTTCCATCCAGCCCAAAGCAAGGCTGAAAGTCCAGGCACAGTAGTGTCACCCTATGTCTCTGCCCTGACTGCCCTCTTCCCAGAGTCCCTGCTCTGTGGAAGCCAGGCCTTCCAGCAGCTCATTCCTAGGGTCTTGCTCAGGCTTGTCTAGGCACTACTATGATGGTATGCAGAATAGTGTACCACCAGAGATGGCCACATGCGAACCCCTAGTCTGTGCGCAAGTCACCCAGCATGGAAAAAGGGGATTTACAGCTGTAAGGTTAAGCACTTTGAGTTATCCTGGACCGTCCAGATGGGCTCTGTCTAAAGGCATGAGTTCTTAAAAGCAGAGAAACCCTTCCTGGCTGTGGTCAGAAAGGAAGATGTGGTCAGATAAATGCAAGGCTGCCTGCTTTGAAAACAGAAGAAGGGGGCCATGAGCCGAGTAACTCCAGAAGCTGGAAAAGGCCAGTGAATGCAGAAAGGACATCTAGAGTAAAGCACAGCCCTGCTGACACCTTGACCTTAGCTTGGTTGGACTTCCAACCTACAGAACTGTCTGATGATACATTTGTGTTTTAAGTCCTAAGTTTGTGATCATTTGTTACGGCAGCAATAGAAAACTAATACAGCCAGTGACTGCTCTCAGCTCTAAACTCTGAGTCTCACACTTCAACAACACAAAGTGACCAGGGCCAACTAGCTTCTGCAGGACTCTGGCCGCCTTCTACACACCCACAGTTCCACCCCTATTCTCCTTACTTCCCTGCACCCAAACCTCTGAGACTCAGGCCACCAGCCCTAAGGAGGCACTCTGAGCCACCCAGTCAGCACACATTTGTCTCAAAGCCCCTCCCTGCTAAGCCTGGCATCTGGCAGAGCAAAAGACCAGAAGCCAGCCAGGGACCACTGGTGCTCTGGACAGAGGCCCTAAACCCAGAGTCGGCAGACCCGGCTGAACAAAGACAGAGGGATGCACTGGTGTGTCCCTGGGCAGAGCTGGTCAAAATATGATAACATGGCCACCATTCTCCCTACCACCCTCAACAACCCCCCTAAGAAAGAGTTGGAAATGATTCCCCCTGCAGATGTGATGGGTGAAAGCATAGCACACCATACACCCTCACTCACATGCCCAGGGAAGATGGGCTCGGTACAAGAATCTATAGTTTAAGCCAAAACAAATAAACAACGTATGGAATTTTAGGCAGGCACAAGGTAAGAGGAGGATTATTTGTGTCTCCAGGTTTTCCCAGGATGCCTTCAGTAACCAGTATGTTACCAGTCCACCTGCAAATGAAATCTAGATGAGCCATGAAAATAGGCACTGTTCTGGGGGAAGAGAGGAGTAAGGAGAGCTAGGCAGAAGGAAAGCGAGATAAGGACTGAACACACAGGCATGGAACTGGGTAATACTCAGGCTAAAGGAGGGAAATGAAATATGTGGGGTTAAAAGTGTGCTTGAAGGTCTATGGGTGGGGTGGAAAGAGAGCAGAAAGCAGCAGGAGGTAGCATGGTGGCTGAATCTGCACAGGGGCAAGGCTCCCATTTCACAGGACTCTGGTATGCAGTTAGGTTGCAGTTTCTGCCACCGGAGCAGGGCAGGAGCCACACATACAACACACCCAGCAGCCTCCCACCCGAGAGCCTCTGCTGCTTCTTCTGGAGTCACAAGCTCTGGAAGCCCCCATCTCTCCACTCCTGGTCCCTCTCGGACCCATCCTCTTTGGAGAATTTTTCCCCAAGTCCCAAGGAAACACCCTAGCCACCCACTCCAACCATTCCTCAAATGGGACGGATGGTGGCCTGGAACCACAGAAGCCCCCCAACTCTGTAAAGTCTTGATATGTCCTCCCAACAGCCCCTCCACTCCTTTGAGCAGCCTCTCCAGACCTCTGGGGAATTCCTGACACAAGCCCATCGGGATTTCCTCTGATGAGCCATAAAAATTGATTAGCATAATTAGATCAGACATACTACGATACCATTATGGTCTCCTCTGCTGTCTTTCCCTTCATTAATAAAACACAAACTAAGAATGCAGCTGTCTAGTCCCGTCTCTGCTGGCCCTGAAGGAGGTCCTGTTGGACAAGAGATAGAGAGACAGTAGGACTAGCTAGTGACTTCACTGTCTCAGCACTCCTGTTCCCTCACTCCTCCTCTCTCTGCACCTGTCTGCTCCAGCCTGGCTGGACTGGGGAGGAGCAGACCTGTGGGGTACCAGGTCCCTGCAGAAGGAGAACTGCACAGTGAAGTTGGAGAATCAAAGCAAACCCTGCTGGTCAGATAGCTCAGGAAAAGACCTTCCCAAGGCCAAAGGCATGTCCATCCTAGACAGCATCAGAAGCCGAATGAATGGGTGTGGCAGGCTTGGCAGCACGTGTCTTCTAGAGACTGCAGCAACTGCTACTGTGAAGGAATATTCCAGGCTGACCCATAGACAGCAGTATCAGGGGAAGTGAGAACTCAAGGTCCCTTACACATCATTGGGGTCTCTCCTTTTAACCGAAAATTATCACTGGGCATTTGTTTCTCAAAGCCCCTTTTGGTTTCAGCTGTATTCCAACCCTCAATGCCCCAAATTTTGGAACTCTCTTCGAATATTCTACTGAGAAAGAAATCCCATTATTTCATGAGTAAATAGGCTGAGGCCATAAGACTCACGGGCTTGAGGTGATCCAGTCAGGTGGGGTAGATGAAACCTGCTGCCAGGGGTCCAGTGTCCTTTTGGCTGCACACACATGACCTTCCAAGGAAGCTGGTAGGAAAGAAGTGGAATAAAACTGAGTGTTTTACAGCAAAAGCCATCCTGTGCTTTCTTACCTAACAGAGGTACCATTTCATGACCTCTGGAATAAAGGGTCAAGTTCAAAATATGTCAACAATGCAAAGACAATGAGGGCACAGTGATTTTCTCTTGTGAGAACTGGTTTTATTAACAACAGCTCTAACAAGTGGAAGCACCATTTACTGAGCCCTTCCAGCAGGCCTGGCCCCTGCCAAGCATTTCTTCATGAGCACGCATGCTACTTGTTAATCCTCACAACAACCCTGTGAGAGATGTACTGTTATTGCCCCATTTTCCAAGGAGAAAACTAAGAACAGAAAGATAAATTTCCTCTCCCAAGCATCAGTTGGTAGAGCATCGGGCTGGGACTCCAACCATCCCTGGGGGCACTAAGCCCATCTGCTTCGCTGCAGCTTCCACAGCCTGGGTGCTTGTCTTTAGCCTCAGTCTTGCAGACACCTCCAATCCATTCTCCCAACAGGGCTCTACTGAATGCACCCTGAGTTTCCTGCACGGCACGACTCTAGGCACTGAACTCCTTAGCAAACGGAGCAGGCAAACTCTCTGCTGTCTTTGTGAAGCCCAGCAGTGCTGGGAGATAGATGATGAACTCAAAAATTAGAAAGTGCGCACTCTGTTGGAAGGTGGTGAGGATGAATGCTACAGGGCAAGGAAAGGGGCAAAAGAGAAACTCAGAGCAGTCTAATTTTAAATAGGGTGTTCAGGGAAGGCTCACCTAGAAGCCGATGTTGGAGCAAAGGCTTGAAAAGGTTACAGAGTATGCGCAGAGTGTACACGTTGTTCCCAGAAAAGTTCTCTCTTCCCAGGCCTGGAAAATCTATCCTCATTTCATAGAATCCCAAAATGAGAGACAAGATATGTGATAGTGGCCAGCACATAGCAAGTATTTACCATATGCCCCTTTCCTTTCCTTCTAATGGGGATAGGTTTTCCTTCTAGGAAGAATACTTGAAGGGAGTTTAGAAACATCGGCATTGAAGAGCTGGAAGAGAGATAAAAGGGCTTTGAGAACAAAGACCCATTGATGATTCTTGGTTAAGCCGAGGGACTCTGTCAGCCCTGTAACAAAGATCAAATTAAAGACACTTCCTTCTCTTCCATAATGGGGTGAATGGTGTTCCCTAAGTAATCATGTGTTGAAGTTTTGATCTGCAATATCCCATAATGTGACCTTACTTGTAAATAGGTCACATTACATCACACTGTAAATTACATCTCAGATGTAATTGCAGTCGCACTGGAGTGGAATGGGCCCCTCTCCAAAATGACTGGTGTCCTTATAAAAAGGAGAGATTTGGACAAAGAGACAGACACACAAGGAGAACATGGCATGAAGATGAATGAAGAGGCTGGGGTGACATAGACAAGCCAAGGAACACCAAAGATTGCCAGCAAACCACCAGAAGCCTGGAGAGAGGCATGGAGCAGCATCTCCCTCCCGGCCCATGGCCCTGGGCAGGAGCACCCTCTCTGGCACCTTGATCTTAGACTTCCAGTTTCCAGAACTGAGAGGTGGCTCATTTCTTTTGTTTGAGCCACCCAATTTGTGGTACTTTGTTATGTGGCCTAGCAAACTCAGAACCTTTCAAGCCTATTGCTTCTGATGTCTCATTAAACTGTGAGAGAGGACGGCTCAGGGAAACGAATTTACATACACTTGAGGATGTTACCTTGGAAAGAACTTTAGGTGCTGATACTAGTATTTGGAACTGACTAGAAGCAAATGGTTGAGAAACCTCAGAAGTTTTTGAGGGAACTGAATACCAAAAAAACTGTTTGCTGGCCTAAAAGAGCCCATGAGTGTAAAGTGCCCATTAGTCAGAAGCAGACATATGCCCAGACGCCCACACTTGGTGTCACATGTGACATGGAGGGGATGGAAAAGGAAGCACCTCCTCGAGGGTAAGCAGGGCCTCTGCAGGACGATGGACAAGGACATCCCTCACAGCGAGCAGAGGCGGGTCTCACCACACAGCATTCCCACGGCCAGGGTGGCGCTCCTCAGATTGCTGCCAGCAAAACTCCATCCCATCCCTGGCTGTGTGTGTGTTGCCCACAGACACTGGCCAGCTTTCTCATCCTTCCATCCCAGTTGTATCTTGAGGGCAGATAAATTGCTTTGCTAGCTCGCAGCTCACCAGACATCGAAAAGCTGCATGAGACTTGAGGGAGAAGACTGTCCCTTTGAGGTCAGGGTGTGTGAGCATGTTCTGCACAGAACAGAGAGCAACACAGGTATTTGGCGACCAGGAGGGTGACTGGCAGTCGAGTTTCCCAGCTGTGCCTCAGCACCCAGCTTTCTGTTTTGCTCCTTTCTGGACACACAGCAAGGCTGCCCTCCCTTGTACTGAAGCATGGCCTCTTAGGACAGCGCTCGCCAATGGAGAATGAGTGACAGTGATGGGTACCTCTTCCAGGTCAAGCCTTCTTTTTTGTTGAGACGGAGTTTCACTCTTGTTACCCGGGCTGGAGTGCAATGGCGCAATCTCGGCTCACCGCAACCTCCATCTCCTGGGTTCAGGCAATTCTCCTGCCTCAGCCTCTCGAGTAGCTGGGATTACAGGCACGTGCCACCATGCCCAGCTAATTTTTGTATTTTTAGTAGAGACGGGCTTTCACCATGTTGACCTGGATCTCTTGACCTCATGATCCACCTGCCTCGGCCTCCCAAAGTGCTGGGATTACAGGCGTGAGCCAACAACCAGGTCAAGCCTTCTAAAAGGTGTCTGCAGTCCCTCAGCTCTCTTTATCCTCCCATCATCTAGAGAAAGAGGCAGCAAGGTCCTTGGAGCTCATGGGACCACACGAGGAACAATCCTAAGTGCCTGAGTCATCGTGGGATGGAACCCCATCTGCTGATCCAAAATGCCACATCAAACTGTTACACAGGCGAGAAAGAAATGTCCATGCTACTAAGCCACCAAAATTTCGGAGCAGACAGTGTTACCTTACCTAATACAGGCGGCCTTCTGAATGTGCACGTTTCACATCTGCAGATTCAGTTAACTGTGAATCAAAAACGTTTTTAAAAAATAACAACATAACAATAAAAATAATACAAATCCTAAAATACAGTATAATAACTACTTACATAGCATTTGCATTGTATTGGCTATTAAAAGTAATCTAGAGATGATTTAAAGTATACAGGAGGTTGTGTATAGGTTATCTGCAAATACCATCTTGACACTTCATGTCAAGACTTGAGCATCTGTGGATTTTGGTATCCATAGATACCAAAATATCCTCCTCAGATGGAGGGACAACCAGATATGCAGTGACTCAATCAAAGTTGGGGATGGCAAGAGGTCCTCTGTCAAGAGGCATCATGGTGTCACGAGGTAAGCCCCGGATCCGGATTCGGTTCTAGAATCAGCGCTGCCAGTAACTACCCTATGACCAGAGCAGGTCAGGGGACTTCCCTGGAGAAGGTAGGTCCTATCCAGAAGTGTGGTTTTCAAACTTCCCTCCTTAGGGGTGCAGCAGTGGGGTAGGCCCAGGGCTAAGTGGGCAGGGCTCCAGACAATGCCTCCCAGTGGCCAGAATTGCCTGGCCTTGATTGTGAGGCATCTGTGGGCTGGCAAGTGCGATTTTTAACTGAGGGAATGAGAGCATGACATGTGCCGACAAGGACACCGGAAGCCCCTGGGCCAAGGGTATCCCTGAGGACCTTTGTGCTTGCCTTGGGCAACCAAAAGCTTCCCCTTCTCTTGGTCCCACTCTCCCCAGTCCCCAGTGGGTCATGCCACAGAGTCAGAATGCAAACCTGGCTCCCTGAAAATTGGATCTGAGCAGGCTGTCAACCTGTCCTCCCAGCCCTGCCAATGATGGGTACTGGGCACTTCTCAGAGAGAGGGGAAAGAGAAAAGCACTAACAGAGGCCCCAGAGTGGGCCAGACATCCCCCCTCCACCGACTGCAGGGCTCCACTAAATCCTATGATCCTGCGCAACAAGCGGTGTCTTCCCTTTGATGAGCATGACAATGCTGAGGCTCAGAGTGATGCTTAACCTGCCCAAGGTCACACTGCTAGGCGGCACACCCATATCTGGCCAACTCCGAAGCCCTTCATGCCAACCCAATGCCATGTCCCCATTCCCTCCATCTGGTCTGTGGAAGGGCCTGGTGCTGAGTTTTCTCTCTGCCCCCTCACATGCCCTCACTGCACTGTCCTTGACCACCAGGACGGAAAGGAGCCCCCTCCCCCACAACCACCAGGAGGTGCTCTGGAAGGCGGTGCCCATGGCTGAGCACAGGATGGCCCCGGGGTCTGGGGTAGGCCGTTCCTTGCTGCTGTGGAAGCAGTGGACGTGGCCGCAGACCTATCTGCCCTCTAAGGAGTGCTCAGCACTCTTCTTATGTAAATATCTCAAATATTCACTATGCTTTAAAGTAAATGTGCATATTTTTATTTCTTGGTAGAAGCCATTTCAAGCATTACCCAGGGAATCTGGGTCAACCACACTCTCTGCTATTTGCCTGTTTCTGTTTCATTCCTTCCTTCCTTCCTTTCCTCCTTCCTTCTCATTTTATTAAAATTTTTGTCACCCTAAATATCCTCTGATATCAGTCTATTTAAGCACTCAGACTAGGTTAGCTAATTATCATTGCAAATTTCCTGGATAAAGAACATAAAAAATCATTTTAAAGTCAAATAATTATTGTATTGTCCTCTCTTTTACATTGCCCAGTAGTAATTAGAAATCAAGATTTAGTTGAGAACAGGAATACCCAATCCTAACAAGGAGGATCCCAGTCTATGGAATACAGTCATGTGCACAGACTTTTTCAAGGGTCACCTCTGTGGCACGGGCTCAGGGCAGCTGTCATTATCCCCGTTTAACCAGTGAGGAACCTGAGTCTCAAATATATTAATTTTTTGAAGGGATACAAAGTAGCTTTAAAACAAAGTTTCCTGAAGACCCCTTTGCCCATGGCTCTGTGGCCAGGCCCCAGGGCTGGTGTGGGGTAAGGGCCTGCCCTCCTGCTGGCAGGACTTCCCTGGGCACCGGAGGCAGTCCTCCTTCCTGACTCCTTCCTGCACCCACCAGGTCTCCTCTTAACCCTGAGCTCTCCTCTCACATTTAGTTGACAGAAAGTGAAATTAGAGGCCACTTTTTGTTACTTTAACAAACACCAGTTCTTCCCAAACACCAAGAAGATTGAAGAACTGTAACACCGAAAGGTGTTTTTTTCCTAAAACCCTTTCAACAAAGTACTCCAAGGATGGCATGGTCATCTTGAAAGGGTGCTTGATGTGTCTCTGTGTCATCAGGCCTCTGGATGGAGACACCCTGCACCCCCCCACCTCCTCTGCTCCCTACACCACGCACCCACAGACAGGTCCAGCCCAAAGTCTGAAAGGAGAGCAAAAAAGTTTTAGCATCAGAATCTCCCAACACATGACTTATTTAGTGGCAGTGGGTAACATGGGGGTGTATTTCAGTGTTTGGGGGCAAAGATTGAACTTAGAAGTGGGCTTGTCTTAGAATATTAATGTCAGAGGTGGGGATGGAGGAGATGAGGCAGAGAAAGCCAGAGAGGGAAAGAGAGCTGTCTCCTTCTGTCAGGCGCGAGCTCTGGGCAATAGAGATATACTGGGAGTTCAATTTCTGTTTGCCTGAGCCAGGGAGAAAATCTAATTAAATATGGTGTCTGAGTTTGGAGAAGCTGGGATGGGGCTGGAATATAAAGTGTGGCAGCTACCCATAGATCAGAGGGCAATATTAATAAACCCACAGAAAGGGACAGCAGGATCCACTGGTGGTATTGATAAAATGCAACACAGAGACAAAGCAGGCTGGGGAATATTGCATGATAATGCCGATAAAAGCGCACCAGGGATACCACCCCCACTGCGGTGGACCTGGGACCACTGTTGCAGGAAGCTGGGTGCACAGCATCAGGCCCCCTTCCCTCTTCCACTTTCTCCTCCTCCTCTCTCTGACTCTGGTCTCACCTCTGTTTCCCACAAACATGCGAACTCAGCATCAGTGAGTTTTCCGAGAACTACTGAAGCCAGGACAGAAGATGAAGAATTAACAAGAGGGATAAACGAGTCTCCATTTCAACAGAGAATGTTTGAGGAAGGAAGAAATCATAAAGACTGCACAACTCCTTTCTTTGCAAACTTCCAGAAAGGGCTGGCCACATATCCGGCTCACAAAGAGAAGAGTCTTGCATGGAGGCTGTACTGTCTTTTGAAAGGCATTTCCACGGAGGTCACTTGAAGGCAGCCCTCAGTCTCCATGCAAGACTCTTCTCTATTTAAGCCAGATATGTGACCAGCCCTTCCTGGAAGTTTGCAGAGTGTTAGACACTCACAGAATTCCCCAGCCCTCTGACACTCCAAACCCAAAGCAGGAACCCTGGGGACGTGCAGCTTTCAAAAAACCCTCAGAACTCTTTGAAGGTGTTGGGGTATAGTTTCAGGGTGAAATCCCTTTGGAACCAGTTGGCACTTTGTCAGAGATCTTCTGTCTTCTCAAGAACTGTTTACCAAGGCATTGGAGATGGGGCTTTTCCTGGTGGGCAGAAGCAGCACCACTGCATACCTCCCCACCGTGCACCCCAATCTTTCTCACGGCCCCTTATCACAGTTGCAGTGAGGCTCTCAGATCTTAGCTGAATTAATGTTGTTCTTTTGTCATCTGTATTTAATTGCCATCAGCTGGGATGTTATGACTTCTCCTGATTTTCCTAAGCTTTCTGTGTTATAACTAGCATCTGCCTAGAGTATTTCCAGCAATTTTTAGCATGTATTAATCTGTGCAGTCTATAATGCTGCATTATTTCCTGGGATTATGCGGGTGACCATAATAGCAGTGGCTCTCAAGTCCATTTCCGCTCAGACTGATACAGCTTTGAATCTGTACTTCAACCTCCCCACAGCCTACCTCCACGGACAGTAGCAGCCTCTTCTTTGGAACTGAATTTGTATCAGAAGGTTTCTGTTGAAAGCCAGCACTTGCTGGCTATGTGTATTCATCCCGCTAGTCTCTGAGCCTCTATTTTCCAGTCTGTTGAATGGGAATGATAGCAATTTCAACCACTCTGAATGGGCTGTGTGGATTAAGTGAGGTCATCTATGAGGAGAGTGTTCTTCAAGTTCTGAGAACGTTGTCTGATGCTCACCTGAAGAAATAGAAATCCATTCAACCATCAAGAGAGGCCTGATTACTGTGGCAGCAGCTTGTACCAGCATTGTGCACCCTAACTTCAAGCGGCCCTAATCAAACGTGTCACTTGACCTTGACAATATCTGATAAGATTTCACTTTACAGATGAGAAAACTGGATCCCAGAGCCCGACAAGAAATCTTTTCAGATGCAAAGATGATCACGTCCTAGCTGCGGCTTTAAACGTCCACCTTGGGGAAACGGCAACCTGGAATCCTAATTGGAGCTTACAGCCAGGCTCTCCTGGCCAGATCCCTGGACAGCTCCTCCTGAGCAATAGTACTCCCTCTCCACATGTCTCTGTTGCCTTGGCCTAGGGACTTAGCATCACTCAAGTCGCACGGCATCCCGTCACCTCTATGCCCTTGCTCCCTCTGCTGAAGCCACAATGGCTGATTCTTGGACAGGACAGGCTCACCTGTGCCTCAGGACTTAGCACCTACTGTTCCTTCTGCCTGGAACCCCCTTCCCCAGATACCCATGGCTCACTTCCTTATCTCACTGAGGTCCGTCCCCAAATGTCTGTCACCTCCTCAGCAAGGCCATCGGTGACCACGTTCCCTAAAAAACAATTGTCAGCCATCCTCTCCACTCTCTGCTTTACCATTCTCCAAAGCATAGAGTACCACAGCCTTCTATCTATTAGATCAGTTCTTTCTAAATGTGGTTCCCCTCCCCCCACTAGAACCTGAGAGCAGGGACGTTCTCCTACCCACTACTGTAACTTCAGGTCTTGTAAGAGTGCATATATGTTCCTTGGCTCATTCAATAATTTATTATATAATTTTTTTCAAAGAGTTTTAGAGAGATTAAGTCACACATCCTAGACTTGATTACACATCTAGGAAGTAATAGAGCTGGGAACTCAAGTTCAGTGTTTTCTACTATATGAAAATCTAAACTCTAAATTCATACAACTCAGGGTGACCAAGATGTAGAGAAGACTCCCATGGTCAAATACATCCCATGATGACCGAGGAAGCCATTTCCCCTATGGACTTGTGTCCCCAGAACACTTTGGGGCATCTGGGGTAGAAGAATCAGAGGAAGCCAGACCAGCCAAACTCAAGGGACCATGACCAAATGACCCAGGTGTACCAGGACCCTCAGGAGCAGCCAGTGAGTGGGCTCTTGTTTGAAGGAATTCTCCCTCTTTGCCAAGCACAGTTGTATGAGTGGCAGATTTGCCTGATCCTGCTCTTTTTGTACCCAGATCATGAAAAGCTTATTCCTAGCAATGGAGCAAGCTCGTTAATGGGGATCATGATGCTGAGGATGAGACCTGAGGGTGGCAGAGATAGAGAGGAAGAGATGGAGAGATGGCATCAAGAGAGACAAAGACAGAGAGAGGCATGAGAGAGAGAGAGACAGAGAGGGAGCGGAGAGAGAGACCCCAATCTTGCAAAGCTGCTCTTGCTGGTCTTCCTCTGAGTCTTCATGAACCCTGGAAAGGCCTTTGGGTTCAGTACTAAGCATACACCACAACTCCAAAGGCTCCACCCTGAGGCTATTGATCACTATAGGAACCGTCACCACAGTGATCTTCCAAGAGACGCTTTCTACGGCCAGCGTTCATTCAGAGGATCCTTGTCATCCAGGGAAGAACACACACTGTTTGTGATTGTAACAAGCCCATTGATGGGGATTATGATGCTGAGGGTGAGACCTGTGGATTGCAGAGAGATAGCGAGAGAAAGAGATGGAGAGATGGCATCGAGAGAGACAGGGACAGAGTGAGACATGAGAGAAACAGAGAGAGAGAAAAGAGGAGGTGAAAAGGGTGGTTCATGGAAGGACAGAAGGATTAGGAGTGCAGGTAGAGTGTTGCATTAGCCTGGGTCTGAAAATGTAATATGCAAATCGGTTGGTTTTTTAGTGGGGTGGTTCAGGCTACATTGAATCTGTTCAACCTTTATTGAGACCATGAAGCTGGACAAGACCCAAATCTTGCCCTAAAGTATCTTACAATGCAGTGAGTCTGACAGGCTCATAAACGGCTGGGGGGAAGGGGGAGGAGGCAGGGAAGAAGGGGGAACTATTTTTAAATATAATATAAAAAGAAATTATGCTAAATATATAGACAGTGAAACATGGGAATGAACTTAATCTTGCTGGGGGCCAGGAGAAAAGAGGACACATTTCACAGAGAATGTGGCATTTGAGCTGAGTGTGAAAAGGCACGTGGAGTGGCATTCTAGCCTGAAGAGTGAAGATTTGGAGCCTAGGAGGAAGAAGGAGGCCAAAGGGCAGGACCCACAGACGGTTGCAGAGCATGGGCCTCCTCTGTCTGGGATGGATTAGGTAAAAAGTCATCTCATCATCTAAAATAACTCTAGGGAGTAAGGCCTGAAGAGAATTCCGTGCACCCAATCCCTGCACATTGGCGGCCTTCTGAGGACAAGAGTGTATTTGTATTCCAAACCCAACTCACCCATGCAAACCCTTGAGGCTCCTGGGTTTGGAACTGGGAGGGGTCTCAATTCAGAGGCTTGGCAGGGAGGCAGCTTTCACCTGCACTGTCGCCTTCCCTCTCCTGTTGTGGGAAGGAAATGATACACTTCTGCCCATCAGGAATCTAAGTTTGTTCATCGGCAGCATTCATTCTGAGTCTTCTCCCTACTCCTTCAAAGCCCTGGGTGGTGGATGTCTCGATGGAAACACAGTTTTTCTATTTTAAAACGTTCCCCCAGGAGTAGGAGGGAAGAAAGAGCTACGATCCCGCCGGTGTTGTACTGCTCATGGCAGCATTTACTGAGGCACTTAACAAACGAGCAGATCGCTTTCAGAAGCTCAGTGTGCAACTGCTCTGTCCCTGCCATGCAGGTGTTATTATCATTCCCTGTTTCACCCACGAGCTCAGAGACATGAACACGCTTGTCCAAGGCCACACAGCCAATCCAAGGTTTGATCACTCAACACCATTTATTGAATGTCTACTATATGCCAGGCACTGGGCGGCTCCCGAGGTCAGCCCACCTGGGAGCCATTTCACAAACCCAAACTGAGGACAGGAGAATAAGCGGGCCTCAGAGGACAGGACAAAGAACAGTCTATGTTGGCCAGACCCCCAGGCAGGAGGCAGTGAAAGTATTAAACCATAACACTCTTCCCAACTCCAATTTCTCCCAACAATTTTGGCTCAAACCGACTCTGGGTGGTGAGGGGCTTTAATTGTCCCATTTTCCAGAGAGGTAAGCTGGATGCACTGAATGACTCATCTCTTCTCTTCGAAGAAAAGGGGTGCAGCAGGGGAGGGAGGATAACACAGTGACCACCAGCTCTGCCCAGAGACGGTCCTGCGGATTTGCTTGGAGTGCCTCACCCGATACCAAACTGAGAGAAGGACGTTATTAACTCATTGATGGAAAAATGCCACATCTAGAGATATTACATGACTTAATCACTGCCACACAGCTTGGCAAAGGCAGGGCAGTATGGACGCAGTCCTGCAGCCCCCATTGCTTTCTCCTCCCACAACCACACAGCTCCCCAGACTGTTGGCCACAGGCCCTGAGAAAGGGGCCACCTGGTGCAAATTCAAAGAAAAGCACCCTTTTCTTTCATTTCATATGGCATCATTTGACCTTGAGGCCCAGGGGAGTAGAGTGTGTGCACACGTGCAAAGGCACACACAGCCTGTGTGCACATTTCTGCAATATGAGTGGTGACATTGTCCTGTGAGGCTCAGGGAAAGACTGCACACTCATGCTGTTGGTTGGGTCTCTTCTCTGCAGAATGCAGGACCAACCCCTTCTGGTTATATTAGATTAAAGTCAAGGGATCCACGACCAGGGGCAGGGGGTGCTTAATGGGCTCAAATTGGGTGAGATTACCCACTACCTGCTCAACCAAATTGTCTACAACTTGCTCCTCTCCTTTTTGTTAAATTTCCTGGACCAAAGCAGGGCAGAGCACCTGGAGGTGGTTACAAGTATAATTAGCAAAAGATGTTCCCAAAGGCCAGGTGAGGGGCAGATGAAGTAAGCAGAACGTTCTCCTGACACTGATCACAGAGTTGCCAAGTTCTCTTCTGACTGGGAAAAGCACCATGCTTTATCCTTGCGTGTCTCAGCCCTGGCCTCAGAACAACTGTCTCAGAATCCCTAAGACAGAACTGATAAAAAGGTAGGCTCCTGGGTTCCATCCCAAACCTCCAGATGAATCAGGGTGGTATCCAGTCCTCCACATGTTTAGTAAGTACCTCCTAGAAGGCAGTCCGATGCCCAGGAAGGTTGGAGAAGCTCCACTTTGCCGAAGCCTTTGAGGAAGTAGATTCAGAACCTGGGTCCTAAAAGGGGGTTCAATAGCTCTGGGACTCTGATTCATGGTGCTGCTCCTTCCTTTGTCCACCGCTGCCCTTAGGGTCCCCATTCCATCCCTCTTACAAGGCATCCTAGCTAATCGAAGAAGCCCCAAGGTGCCTGTAAGCATGACCTGTGGCTTTGTGGCATGGCAAGGTGAATTCTCTTCCCCAGAAATCAATACCAGTCCCTGCTGCACCCAGAGCCCAATTGCACCTTTTCCGCCCATAATAAAATATAAGGTCTACTGTCCACTGCTCACTCCCAAATCCTGGAGTCAATTTTGCCCAGAGTGGGTAGAGGAACTTCTCCCCACTGGAAGAACAAGCGCAGGGCTAGCTGCAGGATCTAATTGGGTAGGGGGGGGCGGGGGGGCGGGTGCTGGTAGCTTGCGCACAGGGCACTTGGTGGGAAATGAGCAATCAGCAGCTGGGGCATGAGTAGGGGATGGGAGGGCACCCTCCAGGGTCTCGCAGCCTGCACCACTAGACCAACAGCGTCACCTGCTGGCCACAAGATGCCATACCACACTCCTTCCAGTCTAGGCCCCAGGCAGTCTCAGTAGGCACAGAGAACCAGAGGAGCCCCCTCCTCAGAATGAGAGGAGTCCTGGGCCCAGCAGGTCCTCAGGGTAGCCCCTCTTTGAAGCCCATAGAGCCAGAACTCTGATTCTTCCTTGAAAATGTGCAGACCCCACGTTGACCAAACGTGAATCTCCGACAGCACACTGGCTCCCAAATATTTTTATTTTTCCTAAATGTTTGTCTGTGGTTCCCCAGCATCTTTAGAGGCCCTTATAATCTTTCTCCTTCCAGTGTAAGCTCTTAGAGGGCAGAGACTATTTCATTCTGGACTGACTAGGTCACCGACTCACATTACAAAAGGCTTAGGAGACTGTTTTAGGAAAGTGAAGACCAACAATCAGCAGTTACTGTTGCTGGAAAGGGTTGGTGCCTCTTCCCGATACAGGAATCCTCACAGCTACCCAGCACTGGGGGTCTACCAAGTGGTGGGCATGTGATGCCCACTCTTCAGGGATACTAGCT